ACACACACACACACACACACACACACACACACACACACACACACACACACACACACACACACACACACAAACTAAAAATGTTAAACCGTAACTGTCCGCCTTCGACTTTTAGCAGTGGGCTATAATAGAATAAAAAGAGACGTGAATTTTTGACAGAACCGATGAAAATGCACAAAGAGAACAATGAAAGCTCAGGATGTAACACTTGTGAAACACATTATCTCTTGAATGAAAAACTACAGGAAACATATTCCTCGCCTCATGTTGATAATTATCGCACGCTGCCGTTAAAGAGAGTGTAACTACCTGTATCTGTCTGCCTGTTAGCAAAATATCTCATGAACCATTTGATAGTGTAATCATTGGCTGTACATCAATAACACTGACCTGCTACAAGACGGCTGCCACATCAAACCAAACTATTTAATATTTATAATAGTTGTTTTTACCCATAAACTAAAAAAAAGTCTAAATTAAATAAGCTCAACTGTACAATTAATCTGATAACAACATGCAGTAAAACCTCGCCTCCTCCTGCACTTCTCCAACAGCTGCTGCCATCCTCAGGCCCATCAAACTTTCACAAGTCTTTGAAATATTTAGGTGTGCAAAGGTTTGTGCCGGAAGAAAAACAAGAAGACTGCCGTGCAGTAAAAGCACGTGGAGGGAACTGGGCCATTCTCRCCATTAATCTGGGTCACACTGTTAACCTTCACTTAGTGGCAAATATAGGTTTTAAATCACGGGAATAGGTAGATTTATCTATTGTTTTTATTTAGTTTCACTCTGTGGCTCTTGTTGATGTCTAAAAAACAGCAAAATACTGCATTCAAAAATGTATACACCAGCTTTTATTATATTACTACCAGTTTTTTTGGACTTAAAGACAAAGTTTGCATGGTACAAATGATAATCCCTACATTCACTCATGTTATTTATATTTTTGCTTTGCTTTCAACAGAAATGATCCCTGCTAGAAAACACAGTATGACCTCTGAGTGATCATTTCTTCCCTCTGCTTTATGAAAACCAGTATAGTAACTAAGTACATTGATTTTGTAATTTATTTTTCGAGGATTTGCAATTTTGTAAGTATTTTTAATCATAACTTTTACTTTTGTTTTGTTACTTTACCAACATAAAATGATACTTTTGCTTCTTTACTCTAAAATTTAACACCTAGACTTTAACTCATGATGAAAATAGTTGTTTACGCACTATAAAAATAAAGAGTTGAATTTGCTTAAGCAAACAAGTTCCACTAAACCAATCTGAGTAAATGAAAAGCAGTTTACATACAATTTTTAAAAAGAAAATGTGTATATTGCTCGGTTTAGTGGAACCAGTTTGGTTAAGTAAATTCAACAATTCATTTCTTAGAGTGTGTAAAAGTACTTTTACTTTCCCAAATAATGTGAGCAATTTTATGACTTTTATTTAAAGGGCCAATATTATGTGTTTCTCAGGCATATATTTAAATACTATACCATAATAAAGTATCTACAGTATGTCACCTTTAGCTG